GGGGGGGGGTCGGGGGAGAGGTAGAAAGAGCGAGAGAGCTGTGGGGTTTGTTTCTTATTCGACACACTCCCGCGTAAACCCTCGTTTCTTATGTAGTAGCGCAGCGCTCGCCGCTGTGTTTCTTATTGAGACATTTCTCATTGTGTGACCCGGGTTGAGCTATGTTTCTTAACCCTACTTTCTTATTTTTCGTGAAAATGTGAGCCTCAGTTACTCAACAAAAAATTTCTTAACTGCGGGCGCCAACTGTACACACAACTTGTAAGATAAATATACACCATTATTAGTCTAGTCTAGACAAGACTAGTCAGCGGCCAGTGAGGGCCGAGATGAGAAAGTCTTGTATGAGAGGGAAGAAGGGACAGCAGAGAACACTCGGGTCCGAGGACCTGAAGAGAAAGTCACAACACTCATCCGTCACGCAATTCAGATCACTCATCGAATCTCCGAAGAAACCAAGTAGAAACTCCCTGTTCCTCCGCAATCTACCAATTGCAATCTCCGTAGATCCATGTCCCATATTCAACCATCTTTACTATGCTACGAGTATATTCAGCCCCCCTACTCGTATGCATCGTAATGATGCGGCAAGTCAATATAGTTCCATTTTACGACCCAAAACGTAGATCCTACTCCTCCATGACAAACAAATAACCAAGAACTCGATAAGATGCAAATGTTCCTGAACTCACGGCGTCCTCATCGTCTTCATTCCTTCTCTGCAAAACGCTCTTAATCTGGTCCATCCGTTCTCAACACTTCGCCGGAACGGCACCCGCAAGGTAATGATGTCCTCCGCACAACTCAAGGCATTAAACAATCCATTGAAGTAAGTTTATCTGTGAACCTCCTCTTCATTTACTTTTCAAACACGGATCAATTCGTAGAAAATCGCCTTCTTCGTTGTGCGTCTGACTACATCCATCCGACTACGAATCCTACCAAGACAAAGCAAACTTTCGTATAGAACAAACGTGCACGTTGCATGCCCACTTCGCAGGTAACACGCTTCTGGGCATGGTATGAATTCTCTACTCTCACACTTTTCCGATCAAACAACATACATCCCCAAACATTCGTTCAGCGTTGAGATCATTTGAGCAGAAAATACGCGAGTATTTTTCCTGTTGTTTCTCTCTAGAAATCTCAAGCACCAGCTACCTTTTCTTCCCCTCGCTGCCTCGGCAAGGTTTTGAGTAGGCATGACCCATAGCGAGGGGGGGGGTCTTGCTAGCGAGCAGGGCTAGACTCACTCTCAAGGAACCGATACCTTCTTGCTGCGGCGCACCCGCCGCGAGGCGTGCGTAGTGGTGGAGTTGGGTCGGCACTGGTGCGTCAGGTACAAAGGTGCAGATGCGCGGGCCTCCAGGCCGTCGGTGTAGGCAGCGATGCCCATCTCATCTTTGTGCGCGGAGGCAGACGTCATCAGAAAGGTGGACGGGCACTATGTACACAGCCCTAGGTTTTGCTAGAGGGAGCTGTACTGTCTCAGTGACCTGGTATTGCCATCAAAGGCGGAGGGGACAGGTGGTGACGAGCTGATTGGGCTGGCTGACCCTTCGGCGCGAGAATCTTCAGACCAAGAACCTTAAGTGCAACGAGGGAGAGAGCGAGGAACCGACTGGGAAGGACAGCAACGAGAGCGTGCACCAAGCGCAGCGGGTCGAGTTTGATCGTGCTAGGGCTGGCCACAGCGGCACCGGAGCAGCGGCACCGGAGCAGCGGCACCGGAGCAGGCGGACGGCATCGAACCGTGGGGTTCAGACAAACATCTCTTCTTCTTGTATTGTCAATTATTTTTCCGTTTTTTTCCTGAATACAGGTGTTGGGTGTGTTAGTTTGTTTGTTTGTTTTTCTCCCATCATTGGACTCTGTCGTCTGCCCCTCTGGCCCCTATCCTCCACTTCTACTAGCTAGACGACCCAACCGGGGTCACATAGGAGGGGGGGGTTGGACCCCCTCCTGCGGTTCATGTTTGAGGTGTTTTT